GTTTTACAGAGGTAGTTTTAGCGATAGCTGGCTGCAGTATTGCTGTTGCTGAGGTCATTGCACCAGGAATATTTCAAACTATTTACGGCTTTACATTACATATATCGACGTCAATCACCTTCTTTTTTATGTTCTTCATTTATGCTCCGTGTGCATTGATAATAGGGTAAGATAATTTTACTGATGCTTCTAATAAAAAAAATATACTGTCTTTTATGAAATTTAAAGATTTCAATATTTTCGTATTTTTGGGTAAAATGTTATTTGCTTTCAATTTAAAATTATTATGAGAAAAAATATCTTGGTAAATTAACGGACGTATATAAATAATAATTTGCTGGTAATCGATATTAGGATTTTGGTAGTAACACATTAGTAAACATATATGATGGACAAATTGTTTTGATATGTATTTCATTTAAATTCATTAAAATATGTGGTAGTCGGAACAAGGTTTTAGTTCCGGGCTGATTTACATATGAAAATGCATTGTATGCAAAGAAAGAAGTACCGGTACTTAATAAATGATCAGTATATTTTTATTGAACATTTCATCACAGATGGTATAACTTTATAATGTACATATATTTTAATTATATTGTATATTTTATCGTTATTGTTGTTTAAATAGTATATCATTAAACCGATTTTAAACTTTCACACATATTTTGAGCTGCTCTGGATAACGGATAATTCTTTGAAAAAGTCTGAATAGCTTAAAAACGATTCTGTGTTTTGAATATTTTCATAAAATTAAATCGTTCTTTTAACAGGATGACATAGGCTACTATCACCTTCACATGAGAAAGCAATTAAAGCTCTGTCCAGATTATCAAATTTTCTTCGACAAAAGACTGTTGTATGCCCATATATAGTCATGATGTTCTTATATATGGTCATGATGTGCCTATATGTGGTCATGACCATATTTAGACATGTCACATGTATGATTCTGTTAATTAATTTTGGGCTGAGATGTTTTGCCAAATTTTCAGTAAAAACTATAGATTTTAAGTATCTAATTATCAAGGCTCATACAATCGACTACCAACTTTGCCTAATATCTGTTGGTATGCAACTAAACGACATTGTAGTGTCTTTTATTTGTTGGAATTTTAGTGCGGAGCAGCAGTGGCAGATTTTTTTTTTTAAATGAGAAAAAAAAATGAAAATCATATTAAATTTTAAGTCTGAGAGTTCCATTTCTGGCCTTAGAGGTGCTACAGGCCTAATCTTTTTTTTTACCTCACTACCAAACTTGGTAGGACTGAGGTGGTAACCCGTTACCTGGGAAAGTCCTTCCGTGGGCCACCTCTATTTTGAATTGCTGTATCCGCCCACTGAACAGTATGTTTTTCTCAAAAAATTATTAATTATGCATTTATATTCACACGGTTTGGGGAAAATTATGACGCAAATGTACTGGTATTGAACTATATATTTTTATTTGTTATTTGACAGTATTTATGCAGGTTTGATACCAACATCATGCAGTAATCCCGGTAACGATCAAGATGAATTACAAAGTGAAGATACAGAAGACATACTACTTTTAGCTGAGAAGTGTTAATTTCTTATAGGCCTATCAATTGTTTTCAGTAAACAAATATTATGACCCGTCAGATTCTCTTGGTCGGTAAACAGAAACAGCAATGAAGTCCAAGAAACACTAAAATATCAGTCAATTAAGAACAATGCACTGCAAATTTTAAAGGATCAGATAAATCATCAACTCAATTTATCATAAGTCTATCAAAATACATATTTGCTGAATTAAAGAGACAATTTAATGGCAAAAAATTGATAATTTTCAATAGCTAAATAGCATATTTTTAAACGTAATTAAAAGATACAATAAAACTAATGTTTGCATATAAACAGTACACTGATGTTATTTCGAGTATATGTATGCCAATGTTAGTGCATGTTTGAAAACAAAATACAATAGGATAATAAGAATTAATAATGATAATGATGATGACGATGGTGATTACTTGCTAATAATTTTTCATGCGGTATTTATAGCTAGATGTTTCAATGTTTCCCGACTAGTGTATAGAATATCCTATGTGTAAATGCTGTCTCTTATACACATCTAGATGTGTATAAGAGACAGTATATACACTAATCAAGCTCCAAAGCCGAAATTTCAATTTTTAATCAAACCTCCGATTTCGGAGTTTCTGCGTACTATTATTATTAATTAAACAAGCTCTCTCTATATAGATAGAGCAAACTTTTAATCAAGCCTCCGATTTCGGAGTTTTTGCGTACTACACGCGAAAACTCCAAAATCGGAGTTTACAAACTTTTAATCAAGCCTCCGATTACCGAGGTTTTACTTTTGCGTACTGTGCGCGCAAACTCCAAAATCGGAGTTTTCAAACTTTTAATCAAACCTCCGAAGTTGGTGTATCTGCGCCAGGCTCATCTCCTTGCATACAGAGAGCAAACAACATTTTATCAACCCTCCGATTTCGGAGTTTTAAAAACTAATAATCGAACCTACGAAATCGGAGTATATGCTGAGGACTGATTAAAAGTTTTGCTCTCTCCATAGAGATCGGAGGTTTGAATCGGAGGTTTGAATACAAGTTAACTCAGATTTTTGAGTTTTCGCGTATAGTACGCAAAACCTCCAAAATCGGAGTGTTGGCGGCAGGCGCAGACACTCCTAAAATGGAGTATAACTACATACATGGATATAACATTCTTACTTCATATGATCTTTATATAATATTTACAGCATTCAAATTAAGGCCTAGGCCTATATGTTATTACGCCATCCCTTGACACTTGTGAACCTATAAGGGGAGGATACCAATGTAAACCCTGGCACACATTGCATCCTACGACGACGAAACCATATCCGCTTTCTGTGAGCGCCTGGTGCGCCGTCTGATGATCGGTGGTTTATTATTTTTAGGTCCATGGTCTGAGCTTGAAGCCTGGTTTCCATACAATCGCTACGCGCTATCGCCGACAGCTTTCGGTGATGCTGTCTTGGCCGTTCGAATCGGGGAGGCTTCGAGATTGTGTCGGATCTGCTTTGCAGTACAACGATTGCACTGAAAACACTGTAGCGACAGTGTAGCGATTAAATGGAAACCAAGCTTAACATACAAAACAAATACATACTTGTAAGCAATATTTGTTTAATAATAATAATAATAATAATAATAATAATAATAATAATAATAATAATAATAATAATAATAATAATAAAACAACACGGCATGTGCCACAAGAACAGTCGGCATCTTGTATCTTGGACCTTAAAATTGTTTATACCGGCCAAATAAAATCTATATAAAAAATATGGTTAACTAGTAAAATCATTTATGCTTCTGACGAGGAATATTATTTTGAAAATTAATGACTTTGAATCTACAAAATCATTCTATTTTTTATTTCAAAATGTTAATATTATTTTAAATAATCATTATCATTTATTGTCACTTTGACATCGTACCCGCATTTAACAGACAAATTAATATTTAATGGAAAACTAATAAACTTGAATAAGTGGATAATTTGGCAAAATGGGCAATTATTCTATGTATTATACAGTCAACCAATTATTTTTATTATTTTAAATCATCATTATTATTTAATATAACGATTACCATCGTACCCGCATTTAATAGAAAAAACACAAAACACCAGGCAAGTATAATTAACAAGTGATTCGGGCAAATATATTTGCAGAGCAGGGTAATCGAGAATTCATTGTAATTTGTTTCCGAAGAATTATTTTAGGTCTACGGTTAATGAGCAGAACATGAGTACGTACGGATCGATCCCAGCTGATACCAAGACAACCTCACGGAAGTCTTTCTTCATCGCTGACAAAAATTCAGAGGAAGATTACTCTGGAGATTCGTCTACTAATAATGCAATAATTCGTTCTGAACCGAAAAAAGAAGGCGTCTTACCGCCATTTATCAGTGCTGAAGTCTGTATCATACTTTACTCGTTTATTTACTCCGTAATATCTACAGTTAAAGTACAATACGTCAATTATATTGAAAGACTTGATTCCGATACCTTGGAGCCTGAAACCTGTGCCAACGAATCTTCATCCGAGGAATATGAGATCCAGATGCGTGTCAACTTTATCGTCCTTGGATTTGTGGTCTCTAGTAGTCTGACAAGTTTCTTTACAGTTCCAATAATAACTCAATTCTCACTACACATAGGATATAAATGGGGATTGGTAATAAACCTTATCTTCTTGCTTGTTTCATGCTGTATCTGGTTGATCTCGGTAAGCCTTCAAACCTCGTATTGGTGGATGGTTGTTGCGCAGTTTGTCCAAGGGCTTGGAGGAGGGGTTGCAGGTGCACAAGCTATAGCCACGGCCTACTTATCACTTATATTTGATGCGTATCATCTAACTAAACGCCTAGTCGTCATTGGTGCACTTTCTCAGCTTTCAAAGGGAGCTGCACAGTTAATCACCGGTTACGCGATCAGTGATTATAATTTTAACACATCATTTATTATAGCCGCATCGGTTTGTACTGCAGTGATTGTATATACCGCAACATACATCAAGGATATACCACCTAATGCCAGTGATACGACCGGTCGTGACATTTTCCGAAAAATAAAGTTACTTATTAAAGAAAATTCAGAAAAAGAAAATCGCGAACTTGCCTTAATATGTCTGGTTTTGTGTTGTGACTTGAGCATAACGGGATCTTCTAATGCACTTGCTCTTTTATACGTTGTTTCGTATCCACTTTGTTGGAATAGTGAAATAATTGGATATTTCCTGGCATTGCTTTGTGGATTGGGAAGCATAGGTTAGTATATTTGCGACCAGGCTAACTCCGCGTTGCATGCACCCATCCTGATCACGACTTCACAAGTCGTGAAAAGCGTTGCAGTGCTCAGCCTACCGGTGATCATGACTTGACAAGTCGTGATTTTGTAGGGTACTACACTGAGATAGTACCTGGCCGCTTTGGCGAATGCCAATTCATCGACAGACTTCTAGACGGATGTCTTTTGGCCGCAGGACGTTTCGCGACAGGACGTTTCGCCGAAAATATATTCGCCGACAGCCAATTCACTGACAGTCAACTCACCGACAACCAACTCGCTGACACTTTTTTGTTTATTAATTATGAGAGTTTGACATACATTTTGCCTACTGACATTTAGCCGACAGACAAAATGGAAATTTTATTGACAGAACGAAAAGTTTCTCCAACAAAGCCGTTTATCTGTCACTCGAAGGCCCATATCCAGGTTTATTGATCAGGAGTAGTTTTAGAAGTTTGAGAGAGGCCAAGTACCGGAAGGGTCAACCACACCTACCTCAGTCTCACTGGTTGGAGTTGAGTTGAAAAATAATGTAAATGTGTGAAAACTAAAAAATAGCACTCTCACATTTTAAAAAAAGTCCTATAAAATCATTTGAATTTGTATTAGCAAAAAAGTGGTGAACGTATATAGAAGATATCAATGCAATGCTCATCGACATTCAACAACCATCCACACAACATGAACCAAAGTTTAGTGCTAATTTCAGGACCACTGCCCCCCCCCCCCTCATCCACCCCTAAATCCGCCAATGTATAGGGATAATTCAGTCAAAAAGGTACCGTATTAAAAACTAAAGAAAAAGAAAATTGTCGGCGAATTGGCTGTTGGCAAATTGGCTGTCAGAGAATTGGATGTCACAGTCGGCGAATTGGTTTCGGCGAACTGGCTGTCGGCGAACTGGGAGGCCGGCGAATTATCTGTCGGAGCAAATTGAATGTTGGCGAATTAGCTGTCGGCGAAATGTCCTGTCGGCCAAAGAAACGTGAAGGCGAAAGACCATTTGGCCAAGTACGGTCTGGCGGCGAAATGCCTGTCAGTGAATTGGCTTTCGACCAAACATCCCATCACTCTCGAGTTGAAGTTGTGCATATCTACGTCATATTAAAGCAACTTGGTGGCACTTTTAAAAATAATAGGCCTCTAGGTAATTCCTTAACTTTAATGGAATTTATTAGGCCTCATAAAAAAATTTGTCGCGTATTGGCTTACGTATTAACAATTTGAGCATGTGTATTTACATGGGGATATTGTTTATGTTATTAATATAATATAAATTAAAATACCAATAACAGTAAAATATTAGTATCAATAATAATGATAATGATAATGCCGATGACAAGAACAAGGACAATAACATTAATAAATCAATTGAGCATTATATCCATTAATTTTTTTTTCGTATCCTCAGGACCACTTATCGTGTTTTTTGGCACTATTCCTGACCTGTACTTATCGTTGCTGGGGATGGCATCATCTGGGCTTTTTGTACTGTTCTGTGCATTTGGTTATTCAACTAAAATCATGTTCATAGGTAATAATAGGCATATCACATACTCACACGTCACACACACTACATGATTTATACATATACGCAAACCCATATATCTGTCTCGTATACACATCTAGATGTGCATAAGAGACAGGGATAGAAATACACTGAATGCTCTCCAGAGGAACACGTTTGCAGGTTGCCATCGACTTCAGTCTCTCCGCTTAACCAGCAACGGCATCAGTTCTATTGAAACTGGAGCGTTCAGTGACCTTGGAAATCTGCAGGAACTATATCTGGGAGATAACTACCTTGCTATCATTGGTGCCAATATATTTACTGGACTCGCATCACTCAAAGATTTGTATCTAAATACAAACTCTATTCAGGTATTAAGTCCAGGATCGCTGGAACCTTTGAAAATGCTTCAAACCATCCTCTTTATATGTATTTATTATTTCTATAGTATATTTTTACTGATTTTTTCTATGTAATTCACTACACAATGTATATCTTCAGTTTCAGCTAATTTACTATGAAAATGTATTGTACGGTATGCAAAGAAATATACTTAATTCAATATGAATCTGTTAATTTGGGAAGATATATTTTCAGTTGAAAGCTATGGGAATAACATACCATAATATACAAAGTCAGCAATTCAAATATTTAATTGTTCACGTTTAGGTCTATACAACTTCGATTGCCTAATAACTGTTGGTAAGCAACCAAACGAAATCGTAACTAGACTGTCTTTGGTTGTTGGAATTCCACTGAAGAGCAGTATGTCTTTCTATCTATCATGTATATATACTTCTCACATTGGGGAAAATATGACGTATGTGTGCTGGTATTTAACTATACATTTGAATTTGTTGTTTGACAGTACATATGCAGGTTTGATACCAACATCATGCCCTACTTACAGTACAGATCAAGATGAATTAGCAAAAGAAGAAACAGAAAAAGAAGCTCCACTTTTAACTCAGTAGTGTTAATTCTCATAACATTAGAGGCTGCCAAAAGCTGTTCGGTCGGTGAACAGGAACTGTGGTGAAAATCATAAAGTATCATAATTCAATTTAAAATATAATATTACGAATTTGAAAAGGTCAAATAAGTTATAAACATCAAATGAGACACATAGGCCTATTAAAATATTCGCTGAATCACAGACATTTGTTGCATGAACGTTCTTACCGCTTACTGTATAGCCAACGTTCCGGAGTGTCAATCAAACTTAACAACTGACCAATCAGAACAGCGCCAGAACACGCGCCTCTCACAAACAAGCACAAACACATGTGTTGTTTTGTGGGACCTTAGCAACAATACTCAAGGGGCGGGGCCATTTAATAGCTACTGCTACAAACAAAAAATTGAAACGGTAATGTTCATGTGTTTAATTTTCAATCAGAAGTTACAAAGTAAGCTATTTATTGTTTATTAGCTCAAACAGATAGAACATTCTAGCGTAATAGAAAACAATAAAACTAAGTGTTTGAAAACCTAAACAGTGCACTGAGGTATTTTGAATAATTTATCATTACTCTACATCTATTTTTTTTTTTGTTTTTGGAAAGTGCAAAAATGTTGTGTGTATGCGCGATACAATATAATAGGATAGTAAGGAATAGTAATAATAATTATATTGACGATAATGATGATGATGATGGTGATTATGATGATGATACTGTTGATGATGACGAATATACATAGGGCCTATATTTATATAGGCATATATTATATATATATATATATATGATATATATTATATGAAGAAGACGTGTCCACGTGTGTTTCGAAACATAGAATATAATATAGCGTAAAAGTAATGAAACTCAAAAAACGATTTACCTTCCTATCATGCACGATAATACTTTCTTCCTATTTACTATTTGTATATGAATGAAATACTAATTATTGTTCAGTGCATTTTAGAATTCTGAGAATATTCATCGTGTTATATTTTTTAAAGAAACATCGTACTGTACCGACGTCATCTAGGTTTTCTACACTAATTTAAGGGTATGGGTAGACTTGCAGGGTCTTTGTCTAATTATTAAATTTATATCACCATAAGCTATAAAAATGTGTAAAATATAAGCATGAATCTACTCCCCCACCCCCCACCCGAAAATTACTCGCGCCCCACCAAAAAAAATCACGGTCAAGTAGTTAAAAATCACCTATAATCACCTTATTTTGCGAATTAGCGCCCCTCAACTGATCATCAAGCCCAGGTCAAGTAGTTAAAATCACCTATAATCACCCTATTTTGCGAATTAGCCTTCACCATGCCTCGCGATGTCACCGGGGACGCAACTGCCAAAAACTATTTTTGGCAGCGAAGGGACACTATATAAATAAACAATCAACAAACTGCCGGGTTTCTTGGTTGATTTGCAAGGTACTACATGGCTCAACTATTTTTGACTTAGGGGTTACGGTAATTATTATAAGCATAAGTCGCACACAAATCATACGACGTCACTGACAACGGGACGGCAACTCGATTTTGAGATTAATTTTCCGAATAAAGTTATACTAAATAACTTCTAATGACGAACTATTGTCTTCAGTTGTCTTTGTTAGTCATTCAACTGTCATTTTATCTATTTTTTCGGTGATATTACCATTCTCAATAATCTATAAAACACCAACATTACAATGTTACGTTAGATCGATCGGTGGGGACGCCGTGGTGACGCCTGTAGGGTCAATTTTCGTCGGAAGGTATCAAGATGATAAACAGTTTCATTGGACAAAATTATTGTTTATGTTAACCACATGCTTACCAATAAACAATCAACAAACTACCGGGTTTCTGGGTTGATTTGCAAGGTACTACATGGCTCAACTATTTTTTACTTAGGTGTTAATTGGTAAAAGTTGCAGACAAATCATACGACGTCACTGACAACGGGACGGCAACTCGATTTTGAGATTAATTTTCCGAATAAAGTTATACTAAATAACTTCTAATGACGAACTATTGTCTTCAGTTGTCTTTGTTAGTCATTCAACTGTCATTTTATCTATTTTTTAGGTGATATTACCATTCTCAATAATCTATAAAACACCCACGTCATAACAACGTCACATTAGATCGATCGGTGGGGACGCCGTGGTGACACCTGTAGGGTCAATTTTCGTCGGAAGGTATTAAGATGATAAACAGTTTCATTGGACAAAATTATTGTTTATGTTAACCACATGCTTACCTAAGACTATACTGACACTGGTTTCAAATCACGGTCACGTCGTTAAAAATCACCTAAAATCACCCTATTTGCGAATTAGCGCCCCTCAACTGATCATCGAGCTCC